TTTATTTATTATTTTTATTTTATGTGTATGAGTATATTGCCTGCATGTATGTGAGTGCATCCATGTCGTGCAACGCCTCGGAGGTCAGAAGAGGGCTTCAGATTCCCCTGGAACTGGAGTTAAGGACAGTTTGTAGCTGCCATGTGGGTGCTGGGAATCAAACCCAGGCCCTCTGCAAGAGCAGTCAGTGCTCTTAACTGCTGGACTATCTCTCCAGCCCCATGGTGGTGTTTTTAATCCCAACAGTTTCAGAAATTTCAGGCAGATCACAGAAGATGGGTCGTGTAGAGTGTTCAGTGGATCTAGTGACTAGATGGGCCCTTGTAGAACGGACAGACACCAGAACAATGTTAGTGGTCGGAAGAGAGGAATGGAGAGGGTATGCAATGCATGCTGTTAAGATGCTTAGCTAAATTACAGGGAGAAATAGGGCAGAATACAGAGGATGTTTTAGGGAAAGAGAAGATGCACAGATACACAGGTATGCATGTGTGTTTATTTTTTGTGTATGTGATATATGCATGTGTGCAGGTGCACTCCTGTGGGCATGTGGAGGCCAGAGGTTAACATTGGGTTGTCTTCTGTAATCACTTTTCCACTTTATTATTTGTTGAGATGGTTTTGCTGAACCAGGAGCTTACTGTTTCTGCTAGAATGGCTAGCCAGCCAGCCCTGGGGATCTGCCTGTCTCTGCCTCCCAGTGCTGGGGGTACAGGTACATACCATCATGCCTGTTTTTTTCCTTTTTTTGTAATTAATATTTTGTTTGTTTTTATTATATATGTATAAGTGTTTTGCCTGTGAAACTGTAAGTGCACCACGTGTATACAATGCCTACAGAGGCCAGAAGAGAGTGTCACATCCCCTGGAGCTGGAGTTACTGATAGTTGATAGCTGCCATGTGGTTCCTGGGAATAGAACCCATGTCCTCTGGAAGAACTGCAAGTTCTTAATTGCTGAGCCGTCTCTCCAGACCACACGTCATGCCTTGTTTTTCCATGGGTGCTGGGGATCTGAACTCAGGTCCTTATGCTCATGCAGCAAGAACTTTACTCACTGAGCCATCTTGTTTGCTCTACATGTGTGTTTATATCATGTTTGTAAGCCAAACAGAGGTGGGGATGGTAGAGGCCTTAAGCTACTTCTTGAGGCCATTAGATAAATAAGGGCCTTCAGAGGCAAGAGCAAATAAGTAGGTTTGTTGTTTGACAAAGAAGGAGAGAGCTGTGTCCATGGAGATGGAAGGGAAGGCAACACACCATGTAGATGCAGAATCTGGGAGCCAAAGGGGAAGGTGCTATTAGGCCTTGGTGCAGTTGGTGAAGATTGAAGCTGTTCTAGGAAATGAGGAAGGAAATGTATCAAATGTATCAAATCCAGCTTTGCTGTTGATGGGCTTTGTGCTGTTGTTTGAATCTGGAATGTCTCCCACAGGCTCAGGTGTTAGGGCTCCATCCTTTCCTAGAGCTTTTGGAGGGAGTGGAGTCTTTAAGAGGGGAAGGTGAGGCACCATGGGAAGGATCTTTGCTGTCACTGGCATCCACTGAAGGGATTGTGGGACCCTGGTCTCTTCCGCTCTCTTGGCTTCCCTGCCACTGTGAGGTGAGCAGTTTCATTCCAATGTGTGTGTGCTTCCTACTGTGGTGTTCTGCTTTGCCACAGACCCAAAAGCAGCTTGACCAAATGACTGTCGATGAAAATTCCGGAGTCTGTCAGTCAAAAGGGAATCTTCCTTTTATTTTATCTTCCATATTTTATCCCACTGACAGCTAACTTTGGGATTCTGACAAGTTGTTTGATTTCTTAGTGCCTCAATTTTCTTGTCTTTCAAATAAGGGCATAGGAGTGACTATACAGGGTTTTAAAAGTGTGCACATTTAAAATATTTTGCACAGTGACTGGAAAGTGCCAGAGACATATTCAGCTTTGCTATTTTAGGCTTGAACACAGATTCCTTGGGATGGTAGTTGTCTATTTCAGGTTAGAGGCTTTGAGTTTTATACGCCACATTACTATATTTGCATTTTTCCCCCTCAAAAGTTCTCAGAATTTGGAGAATAGAACTACATAGAGTGTGGATATATATTTTAATTCAGAATCTAGGTTTGCAGGGCTGGAGAGATGGCTCAGCGGTTAAGAACACTGGTTGTTCTTGCAGAAGACCCGGGTTTGAATCCCAGCACCCACATTTAATGTTAGAAAAAAAGGAGCATTAAGTCAAGAGCTAGAGAGATGGCTCAGCTACTAGCTGCTCTTGCAGAGGACCCAGGTTCAATCCCCAGCACCCACATGGTGGCTAACAACTGTCCTTAACTCAGTTTCAGGGAATCCGACAGCCTCTTCTGTCCTCTGCGGGCATTGCACAACATGGGTACACTTTTCTACAGGCCGGGAATACATACATACACATAAAAATAATAATAAATAAAATATTAAAAAAAAGGAATCTAGGTTTGCCAGATATAGAATAGTTGAAAGAAGCTGACAGTTGAGTTTTAGAAATGATTGAGGTGATGAATGTCCTGAGTGAGGACTGCTAAGAAAGTTAGAGGGGTTGATAGGAAGGAAATAGTTGGTTCCACGCCTCGGACCTGTTAATGAAATTTTGTAGTTTTTGGTTTCACCTGATAGTAATTTAAGTAAAACAGTAGTTATCCGGGGCAGCGTATTAAGCTGTGTGTTTTTGAAACTCTCACTTTATCACTGGTGTGCTGAACCAGCATTCCTTCATGCCTTTATCATTCTAATACATTTTTTATTCCTGTGTCGTTTTAAGGAAAACTTAGAAGATGAATATGAACCCCGAAGAAGAGATCATATTTCTCACTTTATTTTGCGCCTCGCTTATTGCCAGTCGTGAGTATACACTTACATTCTCACAGTCAGGTTTGATCTCTTGTGTTGTTGTATATTGGTGCATGTGAAGTTGACATGCTGAACTGAATGTACGAAAATTCAAAATCACATCAGGATGATGTAGTGTGTCATCGGCTGAACATTTTGCATTGTTTGAAGCAAGTTGTTTTGCTAAAAGATATTGAAAAAAATTTATTGCACATTTGCTTCATAAATACTTTTTAGCTTAGTGGAAGAGACGTTTTGGAATATAAAATCTTCCTTTCATTAGGAAGATTTTTGATACTTTTCTAGGAGAAAGGTGGTAATGTCAATAAGAAACAGTGATTCTGACACATACTTGAATTTCATAAAAGTTTTCAAATTTGAGATATGAGCCATTTTCGATATTTTCAGTTGGTAGTTTCTTACAGGTCAACACTGCCACCCAGAGGGGGAAGGAGTAAATTGCTTTTCAAAAACATTTCCTTCTTACTAATTTTGGTCAAAAATAGAGTTGTGGTTGTTTCTTTTTATTAGAGCGCTTATCAGGTGAGTGTTAAATTGCTAATTGTTAAATGCTCACAAGAGCATCAAGAGAACGTTTTTGGCTTCAAGTTTTAGTTTGAGAGTTTAGTTTTGGTTTCATAGAAAAGCATTTGTAGTTTGTTGAATTGCATATGTATTTATCGAATTACTGACAGTTTGTATACTGCACAAAAATGAAATTCTGTTTGACACATACTAATTATTTTATAATGCAACACTAATATTAGCCAGCTATGCATTTGTCTTAGAGATTAGTATATTTTATGTTGCTTTTGAAGTATTTAGGTATGCTATAAAACTTACAATTTTAGTTGGCAAAGTTTACTGATTTTAATCTTTCGGAGATACAGTTACCTTTAGAGTTTGGTGTTTGCTTGACATTGACAAAGCCATTTTAGAAAAAGGAGTACCTCACTTTCAAGTGTAATTGACTTTTAAAGTTACATTAAGTGCAATGGGCTATTTTTAATGTTATTCAATAATAATTCAGGTAGCCTCAAAGTATTCTGTATTTAACCTTTACATTTGTAACACCCCTTGACCTAACACCCAGCATTTACATGGAAAACTGTGGTTATAGTGTTCATATTCTCTTTATTGAACAACATCAGGTGTACTCAGGGTGGGAAGGCTGTGGACTCATTCTCTTTGCCATAAGAGAACGTGTCTGCTTTTAACTGCTGTTGATTGATATCCTACTTGCCTTGAATATTGTTTTATAAAGTTTCTTGAATTTAATAATCATTGGATTTTTCACTTATAATTTCTTTCCATTTCAGTGAAGATCTTAGAAGATGGTTCATTCAACAAGAAATGGATCTTCTTCGATTTCGATTCAATATTTTACCCAAGGATAAAATTCAAAATTTCCTAAAGGATAGCCATTTACATTTTGAAGCTGTAAGTGTGTTTGTGTGTGTGTGTGTGTATAAGTTTTTTTTTCCTTCTACTTTTTTTCTCCGTTGTGTTTTTGTTTATTGTACTCCTGACTTGAAGTATGGTAGTCTTCCTGCTTTTGTGGCCTGAGTACTGGGATTATAGGTGTGTCACCATGCCTGGCATTTGTATTGTTATTTGCTTTTGTTTTCCCCCTTCATCCTGCCCTTTTATTCTGAGTGTTGATATCAACATTTAGTTCTTGCTTCTTATGTTCTTTTCCTAAGTGTCTGCCTGAAAGAGCAGCTAAAAGCTTTGCATGCAAGTGATTTATTTGCATGTGGTATTAGTTTTTGCAGACAAAGCTGAATGATCTGCATTTTGCAATTACATAAAAAAGAAATGTCTGGACATTTGGTAGGGATAAGTATTATGGGTAGAAATAGAAATTCTTTCTTTTAGGTGGATCTGCGCTATAAAAGAAATTGTTTCTGGAAGAGTAGGGCAGTCAAATGGTAGTGGGACTGGTGGGGACTCTGGGGGTGGGAATGTTTAGCTTGAGGCCAAGTAAAACAAAAAGGCAGAAGTCAGAGCAGCTGGAAGGCCTCTGTTCTGTCTGCAGACATACCTGTCAGGAAGGCTGAAGTTAGCAGTGCCGCCGAGGAAAGAGGTTGTGGCTTATTTTGCCTTTCTTTCCCATTTTCTTTTTTTTTTTTTTTTTGTCTTTTTGAGACAGGGCCTCCCTGTAGCCCCAGGTGGCTTGGAAGTCACTGTTATGTAGACCAGGCTGGCCTTGAACTCACAGAGATCTGCCTGCCTCTGCCTCACAAGTGCTGGGATTAAAGGTGTGTGCCACCACACCTGGCTCCCATTTACTTATATAATTATATTGCTTATATAATTTTGGTCAAATTTGGTTGCATGAGGGGAGTCAGCAACCATTTTGTAGACATTTAGTGCCAGTTGTGTGTGAGGGAGGTACTTTCTGTAGTTCTTCCTTGCATGTCCTGCCAGTGCCTCTAAATAATGCCTCTGTGGGCACAGGTAAGTATTGTACACAGGCCATCTGCCCTAAACCCAGTGCGCCTTCCACTTGGCTTTCAGCTTTGATCCTTGGTGAGGCCTGTTATTGCTATAAGCAACAGTTAATTTATCTATTATTAGAATTTTTTTTTTTTGCTATTGATTAAATTACTGACTTCTGTTAGAATATAGAAAAAAAAATTGTCCTTGCGGTCTGTTTTTTATTCTAGACTGTCTGAACACTTTACCATATGTACTTTTAAAAAATAATATATTTAGAGACTGGAGAGATGACTCATCAGTTAAGAGTACTTGGTGCTCTTGCAGAGGACCTGGGTTCAGTTCCCAGCACCTACATAGGAGGGTCACAGCCTCCTGAAGCTCCAGTTCCATGATATCTGATGTCCTCTTCTGGCCTTCCTCAAGCACTAGGCATGCCCTTGGTGCACATACATACACACAGACTCTCATACACATACATAAAATAAAAATACATATTAGGAGGGTGCAGGTGGGGAAGGGATCTAAATATGATCAAAATATGTTGTATGGCGTTCATAAAAATTCAATTTAAAATGAAATAAATCTTTTAAAATGTACTTATATATTTATATTATTATATATCTAATTAATATATCTTGACATGCTTTTATAGTGATTTTTTTTTTAGTATAATCAACTATACAGTTATCAGCACTATGTAATTTGGAATATTCTTACTGTCCTCAGAATGAAACCTTATGCCCATTAGTAGTTACTCCCTGTCTTAATTGGCTTCCATTGCTGTGGCAGTTACCTGAGCAAACATCTTAAAGGAGGAAGGATTTCTTTTGGCTCATAGCTTTGGTGATCACAGCCCATGTCAGCTGGCTCCATTGCTTGTGGTGCTGTGGTGAGGCAGAATTTCTTGGTGGAAGGCTGTTGTGATAAGAGCTGCCCACCTCATGGGAGCTGGAAACTGAGATACTGAGATAGAGGGACAGACCAGGGCAAGATCATATCCTTCAGATGCTGGGCATGGTGGTGTGGGTCTGTGATTCAAGAAGCAGGAGGATCAGGAGTTCAAGGTCACCCTTGGCTACATAGCACCTTCAAGAGAGGCACGGATTACATGAGATCTGTCTTTTTTTTTTTTTTT